ATTAGATAGTCTGTGTTTGAAAAAACATAAGAGTAGATAATAGAAGGTGGTATGGAATACAGTAGGAGTAAAGGGGCACACAGCACCAGTTAAATAAAAGCCTTTCTAAAAAAGGTTTTAAGTCTAGATTTGAAAAAGATCAGGGAAGCTGACTCTCTGATGTCCTTTGGGACAGAGTTCCAGAGCTTTAGGGTATAGCATACAAAGGCATTAGAGTGTAGAGGGCTGGGTGGAGCGACGGAAGACCAGAATATAAGGATTGAAAGTGGGGACTGGGACAATAATAAGTCAGGGAGGAACTGAGGGGCCAAGTGGAGCTAGTGCTCCAAATGTGGAGCTAGGGTTTTTAATTTGGTTTCAGCCGGGTAGCTGCCTGAAGCAGTTCTGGACTAGCTTACAAATAAACCATTTGTAAGATGAGTTTCCTGTCTTGTACTACAGAATTTTAATTTCAAGAGTGTGGCCAGTGGTGACTTGGCATCCTAGTCTATCACAGTGCACACCTTGTTTAAAGTACTGTACACAGTATAATGTGCACTGAAATATCCACAATTTCCAAATGGCCTCTTCTTGTTTATAACAGTGGTTATTTTGTAGAAATAGCTGTAAATGAGTCAAGGCCAATCAGCTTATCATGCTCATTCATTTACTAGTAATTTAATAGTCACTCATGAAGATATACAGTATAGTGAAGAGCACATACTGTATACACTCAACAATATCTTGAAACTGTACCACCACCTCAGTTGTGCGCATAGCCAGAACCGTGGGGTCTAAAAAATCTTAATTATTCTGGCTCTTTTTCCTCTGTAAGTCATCACATCATAAACATTTTGACAGCACTCCAGTGTGATGTTTCTCTCCAGTGCTAAATGGACTTCTTGCCTTTGAGGCTTTTACAGTTTTTACTGCTCCACAACACAGGCTTCCCAAACATTGTAGAGCAATCTGCTTTGACTTCTGTTGGTAGTGTGTGCATAGGCCAGGCTACTGATAAAGTGCAGCTATAAATTAATGCCAGTCCATGTGCAGTGTTCTGTGGGTGCTCAGCCTTGCATGCAGTTTACTGTCATTACAATTACAATCAACTCTTGAATTTACTGTCTTTGGCAGCAAGGCTGTTGAAGCAGGGCAGAATTAAATTTGTCTTTTCCAGAAACTCACCTGACAGCTGTGGAGTGAAATGCCCACACAGGTCCAAAGACAGAATGCGCACTCAGCCTTTTTATTTTGTTGTTTTTGTTTGTAGCTGACTAGCAAAGCAGTAACCTCCAAAACAGTTTGTGGAACAACTAAAGCATGCTTATGCTGGTGGTGACATATTCTGTGATTAAGGTCAGAGCATTACCCTGGGACTGTGTGGAAAGTCACACCTATGTTCTCTTGCATGGTGTTCATATGTCTAGTTTGTCTGAGTTATCTTCAGTTTGAACACGGTTATTGGTATGTTGCCAGGTCTCTATAGAGCAGGTTAATGGCAGTAATAACAGTTTTTTTTCTATCATAAGTACTGCACTGCACAAGGAGAATGGGAATGGATGCTCCTCTGACACTCATCACTGATTTATCACTCACTGCTAGCTCCATAGGCCGTGACAGGCGAGTTAGCTACTGATTAGAGGAGCTGCTTGTCTCACACTGACATCACTGCAAGGCAGAAGGTACACCCAGGAAGTCACAGGATAGATGCTGTTAGATGTTAGGATAGATGAGTTTTTGCCAAGAGACTCCTACCCACCTAATCTCAGCCTTGCTCCTGGGATGCTAAGGCAATTGTGGACATTTTAGAAAAGGAAGTCACCAGTTCAGTGAAATCTGGTGGAGAGAATAAGTAAATGTAGCATTGTCTTAATGATTTGAAAATGCTACAGTGATCTTTATTTTATATTACATAATGGGGCATGCATTTTTTTCACTGGAAACAACATACAATACTATTTTGGAAAATATGACTAAAGTTTAAAGATAAATATATACTAGACAGCACATATCAGACATTTATTAAGCACAAAAAGGTAGGTTACTCACACAAACATAATAAGCCAACATTTGGTATCCCTGATGTGTTAAGTGCTTGTATGTTGGTTATAAACATGAACTAATGCATACCTTCAAACTAAGCAATGCTCTTTTTTAGTTTGAAATGATACAGAAATTGTTTTTTTTTATTACAACCCAGAGAGGCATGTCTGCATTGTGTCATTCTTCCCCTGTGGGTACAGTAACAGCACTGAGAGCTGAAAGATTGGTGTATAATCTAAAAAACAATTGCGCCTGCATTATAAAAAATATTTGCTGATGATTCATTTAGCTTTCTAAGGCTTATAGCATCTCCGCTGAATGCAGAGGAGTTGGTTGTTTTGTCTAACCAGGCAGGCAGACTGCACCCAGTAAAATTAATAAAAAGCCACAGTCTCCTTGGAATGAGTTATTGCTGAGTATCATGAAGAGCAGCTCAAAGAGCATTCTACCACTCTGGCTCTGTACCAAAAGCATACTGGCTGCTTCAAAACATGCGTAGTTCTGGTGGCCTTGCCTTTGTGTCAGTGTGTGTGTTTTCAAGAGTGAATTTAAGACAAGCACTGTAAAGAGTGTGACAGAGTGATTGAAAATTCTCATTGTCATTCCCAAAGGTGAGGTGAGTGTCCTTAGAGGCAAACTAGAAGGCAGCATTGTACTGATATGAAATGCAGCTCTGTGTTCAACATACTTTGTACTCTGAATCTATTTTCGGTATTGTACAGTGTGCCCTAGCAGCTCAGAAGACTCTGGGTAGGTGCCAAGCTCTCTATGCTGAGTCCACACTGGTCTGAAACTCTTCCATCCCTCAGGAGCTGCTAACATAGACAGGCATCTCCACCATCTAAAAATGGAAGAACTACTTTTCATTACGGTTGATGGGGCATGGTAGTGAAGTAAACTACAGACAGGCCACCAGGCAAGTTAGAGAGGCCTGAAGCCCTGTTACATAATGTTTTTGATATCAGTGCTTTATCTGTTTGAACTAATGAGTAAAATAGATGGAGCTTAAAAAAAAACTGAAAAATGTGGGAATGGTGAATTTGCAGAGTGATGATGGTACAAAGTTTATTTATCATGTTTCTACAAATTTTCCTTTGATGACCTAATGCAGATAAACACACCTCTTAACACTCTTGACAGTGAGTGTCTCTTTCAGAATTTCACCACAATAAGTATCTCAATGGTGTCTCGGGAGCTGCTGCCATGAGTTTTCAAATCCTGGTTTTCTGGTCCCAGGTCAGGAGTGGAGTGCATTCATTTGCTGATGTGATGTTAGGATGGATTGCAGTATTGGATTTCCTTTCATCACATGGGAGCAGATTTTCTCAGTCTCAGTTTCTCAGTGCTGTTGCTCTGACAATTAAGAGTGCTTACCTCATTACCATTTCCGAGCAGCAGCCAGATTTTGTAAGGACAAGTGTTGGGAATATAAATTTGATAGATAAGTGATTATACTGTAAAATACCCATTTCAGTATAACCAAGACAGGTTGATTTTATAACCTGTTCAAGGTACAGTATAAGCATAGACCTACCAGAAAACAACAAAATCATGACATAATTTCTGCAAGACTCAAACTGCAGAACTCTGATCTTTCTTAGTTACAGAGTAATCTGTAAATATTGGGACGCTGAAGTCAAAATTGCTGTTTTTGCTGTATACTCAAGGAATTCGCATTTTAGATGAAATGATGAATTTGAGGCAAAAGAACAGAATGTCGCCTTTTTTTCCTGGGTTTTTCTGCTTTAATATATTAATAAATACGACATTTTGTGTTCCATCTACCCATTTTAGGTGAGCATAGCTACTGGGATAAATTAAAATAGTATAAATCTTTTGCATATAATAACAGCATCAAACTTGCATTGACAACACCAAACTTGGGTTGTTGTTTTATTGGATTTAAATCAGGAGATTGACCTAGACACGATGTTTCTGCACAAATTGTGAAGTCATTCCACCACTGTAATCATTAGTTACATCATCAATAAAGATGAATGAGCCAGTTCCAAAGGTGGCCATGCATGTCGAATCCATGACACTTCTTTCACCATGTTTCACAGATAAAGTGGTGCTTTGGATCATCAGCAGTTCATGCCCTTCTCCACCAATTCACCTTGCATTCATTTTGGTAGAAGTTTATCTTTGTGTTATCTGTCAAGAGCGCTTTGTTCCAAAACTCATCTGTGTACTTTTTAGCAAATTGTAACCTGGCCTTTCTATTTTTTGTGCTGAAGAGAGGTTTGCATCTTGTGGTGCATATAATATAATATAATTCTGCTGTTGAAGTCTTCTGTGAGTAGGAGATTGTGATACCAACATTCCTGCAATGTGGATATTTGGTGATTTCAGCAACAGCTGTTTTTAAAATTTTCTGCACGGTTCTGATAATTTTCTATCATCAACCTCTGGTTACCTCTGCCTACCTGGTCATTGCCAATTGCTAAGTACACCAGTGGTTTCATTCTTTTCCAAGATATTCCAAATTGTTGATTTTGCTATGCCCAGTTTCTGTGCTGTGGTTCTGATTGAATTAGTCTTTTCTTTCATAGACTGTTCTCTAGTCTTCATGTTGGTTTAGGCCCACTGGCTCCAAAGACAGACACCACAGGGAAGAGCAGAGGCTCAATCCAACACTGCACTCTTACAGCCCTTTTCTCTTTACTATCACTGCCACAGGAAACAGCTGATCCAGAAGAACCAGCCAATTGTCCCAGTATTTCTGCTCCCCTGAAATGAGGGGATTGAACATGAAAAAGGCTGTTATTCCTAAACAGTACAACACAAATACCCATGAATAAAAAGTGGAATTCTGTACTTGTGCCTCATAGTCATCCTTTCGAGCAGCGCTGCTCAGGCTGAAATGTACTGAATTGCAGGTTTGTGGCCCAAAACGTGATGAGGCTTCAGCGGCTGGGGGTGACACACATCCTGAACGCGGCCGAGGGAAACTCCTTCATGCACGTCAACACCAGTGCTGATTTCTACGCTGGTACGGGCATCACTTACCATGGCATGAAGGCCAACGACACGGAGCACTTCAACCTCAGTGCCTTCTTCGAGGAGGGGGCGGATTTCATCGACAAAGCCCTGGCTCAGAAAGACGGTAAAGACGCATCCAGATACTTCTGCAGAGAACTGTATTCTGCTGTCACAGTTGTGTCGTTTAGTTGCCCCTTTTAGAAGGAGGTAGGAAATAAATGCTATATTAGCTAGCTGGTAATACCTATAGATTATTTTTCCATCTGCAGCAGAACCTCCTAATATAATAATATAGCACATTTATACAAGGTGTTCTATATGTTATAAGTAATTTATAAGTTGTATAAATAACAAACTGCAGAATGAGCATATGGTGCAGCAGAAGATACAGTATATGTAAAGAGTGCAGACTGCTTGACCTGTAACTTGATTTACAAGAAATATTATTTGACTTTTTTCTTTCAATTGCCCTTAAATATTTCTCGTGATTCTTTAAATTATGGAATATTATTTTTGGTATCGACTAACCATTCCAGAAAACAAAGGATTGCACAAAACATTCTGAATATGGAAGTATGTTAAAGGCTGCAGTACTCAGTGCTTCAGCAATGGAGTTTGTAACACTGTGCAACACATGTATCCCCACCCCTACTTCTTAGTTAGAATTAAACTAAACAAGATTAAACTACAAGTGAGTATGGTGAATAAGGTTTTGCTGCTGTAGATATTTTAAATGGCCGGTTAGGAAAAATTAATAGAATGATTATAAACCATTTTAATGTTTTCTTCTTTCATTGCATATCCTGCTAATCTACCTGTATTGCCACAGGGAACAGGGATATGTGTGTACAATTTACATACCTTAGGCAATCTTACAGTATCTTCCTTACTCCCAGTGCATTGCTGTAATAAGTTTTCAAGAGATCTCACAAAGGAAGGCAATGAATATAGAACTAGATTTGCGGTTGTATGTTTAAATTATTTTCACACTCTAGAGAATGCAAGTGTGCTTCGTTTCCCTGCTGTGATTTCAAATGCTTACCTTTTTATTTAAAATAAATAAAAACCTAATCATTACAAAAGTCCTCTTTGATGAATCTGATCTCGATTTTGCTGCAGTTTGACTACTTTGCACCACAGATGCAAAATGATATAATGAGATGAATGTTTGTACAGTTATGCCATTTTTACTCTTAGCGCAGTGTAGTAAAACCATGGAGAAAATGCTAAATGATTATGGTAAATAGAGAATAGCAACCCATCCTAAGAAAAACTGCTTTAAACCACTATGACAAAAACTGCCTCAGATCGAGTTGATTTATTCCACTAGCTTGAAAAGTAGGAGATGCTTCTCAGACAGGGAGGAAGGAATTAGAAATTGTGGTCTCCTTTGATCATTTTTGAGCTACCACAGGAAGATGAACCAACATTGTGTCGTCTTTGCTTAAAGAGAAACGGAGGAAAAGCTCATCTTGTCAGTTTTTGCTGACATGTGACTTCTTTCACCCATGAAAGTGTTCAGTTTGAAAGTTGATTATTTGATAAATATTCACTTAAAAAAGTGTGTATACTGTAAATCATTTCTAATTAAACAGAATGGGACATCATCAGTAGATGATAAGTAGTTTTGCAAGCACTGTAGCTGTTTTGATTTCTGCATGTCCTTTGTTTATATTTCTTGTTTATGTTGGTTTTATTAACTGCAACATGACATGAGCACTAATGGGAGATTCAGTGTTATTTAACTTGGTCAGAGGTTAGACGGAGCACATTGTCCACACCTACTGTAAGTAGACACTGACCAATTGTTATGTCTTTAATTGGAGTGGACAAAGTCTTGCATTTAAAGATTTATCTGAATGGATTTTATACCATCTTAGAAATAGTAGAGTAATTAGGAGCATCTTTTTTTTCTTTCCATTTTGGCAGCTTTGGTTGGTGTCATAAATCAGGACAGAAATCCTCCTGTTCAGAGGAAGTCTCACTAGGGTGGACTCTGGAAATAGTGGAAGCTGCCAGCCATCTACTCCTGAAAAAGTGGGAGTGAGAAGCTGCAAGCCAGTGAAAACCTTCAGAGCGAGTGGGTTTGATAGAGTGGTCCAACATCAGTCTCTTACAGTGCCATGTCAGGATGCTTCTCATATAAAAATCGCAAGGGTCATTTCAAAGGCACTGTAGCAGTGACTAAAGCATATCCTGCTCAATATTCTGTGTCATGTGCTAGCTGTGCCATTCTGTGTCGGATAAGGACAGCTCTCGGACTTCAGTGAAACAGCTACAAGGTGAATCACCAGCAAAATTGAGGGACAATTGTTCGCAAAAGTAGCTATAGGCTTTGTGACAGTGCGGTGGAGAAGGCACTGTGGCGGGCCCCAGTGAAAAGAGTGAGGGGACAGAAGCAAGAATGTGAGGTTATCATGGGCCAAAAAGAAAGTGTACCACTGTACCTCGTGACCTCCAGGCTGGGCTTACCCTAATCAGCAGGGTCCAGTCTGGTAGACCTGGGCGCGTAAGGCCAAAAATAAAATAAACCTTGTGGAAAAGGAACAGCCAGCCGTAGTGGCACTGTACAGTGGGACAGGTGCAAAAAAAAAGAAACAGAAAAGACAAACCTTACGCGGTTGCAATCCCCTCCGGGACTGTCGGTGTCAAACTCCCCCTTCCGGGGCTGTCCAGTGTGCCCCTACAGGACCTGCCCAGCTGGGGCTCATCTCAAGCCAGGACAGCTGGGACTACAAAGGCGAGGTGTCGCCCCCACGTAGTGCTGGAGCCTGTAATGGTATTCGCATGCTATGGTAATGGACTTGGTCGTTCACGTTTGAGAAACATTTTAAAACTCCCATTGCATGACCGTTTGATCAATTTTTCCGATTTTGCAAGCCACAGATTGAAGTGTAGGTTGCACTAATGAATCAGAAAGGCAATAGTTTCTAAAACTGCAGCAAAACCATGGGAAAGGTATGAAAATCCTATAGAACGTTTGCCAGGAGTGGAGTCTTGAGTTACCCTGCTGTACAGAACTTGTCACAAGATCCATTTGTCTGCTGCAGGCCGTGTGTACGTGCACTGCAGAGAGGGTTACAGCCGCTCGCCCACCCTGGTCATCGCTTACCTCATGCTGCGCCACAATATGGACGTCAAGACGGCTCTCTCCATGGTCCGGCAGAAACGAGAGATCGGCCCCAACGACGGCTTCCTCAGACAGCTGTGCCAGCTGAACGAGAAGCTGGCGAAGGAGGGGAAGATCAAAGGGAAATGAGTGTCAGTGCAGGCGGGCAAGAGGGGCCTCGCAGAGAGTCCAATCGGACCGGACCAGCTGACTTCCCTGTTCTCATCCCCATCACAGCCTTGCTCACCCGCTGGCCCGGTCAGATTTGTCTTGGCTCTCTGTCAGGATCAGCTGGGCGCTGACAGCGATGGAGAGAAAAGGCCTGTGAACCAGAGTCCATTTCAGAGCCCTCCCCCCAACCTCTTATTTCTTTTGAGGGTTTCTTACAAATCGAGATACTGTTCCACTGCCAGCTTGTACAAGTCCTTTTCTGCTCAGAGATTTTCATTTTTTTAATTTATTTAATTCTTAATTAGTATTCGTGAAATTGTTTAGAGTTGTTTTTTTTTATTGAGGATGAAACTGTGATATATTGTTGATTCTTTTCATGATTTCTGGGTCTTTTTTCACTAATTTGAATTCCACTAAAATTCACTCCTTTCGAGGCCTTAAATATTTTCTCGTTTTTCCTAAAGATTTTGAGGTTGGGTGTTTTTTACATGGTGCAGTTTCCTTTTATGATAGGTGATATATATGAACTATATTGTATTCAAATTAAAAAGTATCTTAGATAACTCCTGATAAAATCTTTACCACCGCAGTATGTTTTTTGAGAGGGTTCACTTTCTTGACAGAGGGATAAAAACAGAACTGTTGGGGTGTTAGCAAACCACCAAAAATCATTTTAAAAGTATCTTCATTGCTTAATTTGTTTAGGAATATTCTCTCCTTCCTCAACTCCAACAGCAAATGTTTTGTCATTTTGGAAAAAAAATACTTTACAAATATAAAGGAACTACTTAATAAGAGTGGGTTGTGATCTTTGAGGAACACAAATTAAGAAATTGATACAAAAAATAAGTATTTTCTTTCAGGAAATGGCAGGAAATAAAAAGGAATGTTTTAACATTAAGCACTGACACTTCAAGATATCTTCCACAATTTCTGATAATATTAGTTGGCAGCAAGCTCAGAAAACAATGGAAAAATGTAATGTTCCATTTCCTCATCAGATCAATGACATTCCACATAGATGAAAAACAGTTTGCATTGATAGTAACAATATCAGGGTCCTTGTCCAGAAAACAGAAGGTGTACAGTAATAATACCCTGTGTCTGCCTTGAAATTCCTCTAAACCTGATCCACTGGTCTTGGAGAAGTTGTGTGCCGAGCAAAACCATTTTAATAAGACCATTTATTGTGAAATTCTTGTGTTTTACTTAAACTCTCTGTTTGAATTCAAAATCAGAATCTGCATTCGCAAACCCACACAGACATTTCGTAAGTACAATTCAGGTCCACTGTTAGGAAGATGATAAAGACATTTATTGGAATTTGGTCACACGCATACAGTAGGTAAATATTCAAGAGGAATTGTCCTAACAAAGGTTTATGCCACTATTGCAGCTTTGGATCTACATGTCAAAAATGGAAAAATCTTTGTTTTGCAATTTATTCCAGTTACATTTGCTGCTCTGCAGGTGTTCTCTCTTGTTGGTTATTATCTGCTGCAGTATGACTCAAGAATCCCCAGTTAATCTGAAGTGTCGACAGAACTGAACTGGAGCCCAGCATCAGGAAGAGAATGGTTAGAAGATCAGTGTGCTGCACAACTCCATCTGCTGTCCCCTGAGTCCTGGCTGTTCTCACAGACTAATCGGACTACTGTTTTTTCAAGAGATGGAAACTTTGCTCTAAGGTTAAGCAAACCTTAGTATTTTTAAAAAGGCTTTAAAAAATAATTCCTAAATATTTATAAGGGCGACCTGTCCTTGTATAAATACAAGATACTCTTTTGGTCATGTGGAAATTAAATACTCGATATCTGACTCACAGTTCATGTGCTTTGGGCTAACCTTAATATTATATGATTTAGCATCAGAACAATTTCAGTTCCTGCTTTAGCTTTTGAAAAAAGGGACTGAGAGAATGATACCCTGGTAATCGTTGGAATTAACTAAGGAGCTCTTGAAAAGGTGGTAATGGGGAAAAAGGATGATTGAAAAATTACTACTGGGGAAGGGTTGGTCCTATACTTTTTATACTTAGTTGGACTGGGCACTGGGTTAGCCTTTGATATGGAGCTATCGTTAGGAAGTGTATAATTTCAATACTGTAGAACATTCTTGGGCAACACAGTAATGTGGTTGATGCTGCCATCTCAAAGCTCTTTGGTCCTAGGTTAAGTTTTGGGCTGAGGCAAGAAATGCTCCCCACATTCGAAGGCATTCTCTGGGGAGCTTTCACCAGGTGTTCCAGTTTCCTCCCACTGCCCATAAACAGGCTGTCTGAGCTGTTCAGACGTCTCCCATGCCCCATGGCCCTCAGTTGGATTGGTATCGTGTCCAGGGTACAAGCAATCATATGCTCTCAGTTCAATATTGCACCCCCTGCTTCCCGGATAGGATCTATGTTATTATGAACTTCATCAGGGCAGTCAGCTTTCTGATCATGGGTGGAAGGACAGAGTTGTACAAGTTCAATACACCAATGTCACACATCCATCCACCCATTTCCGAACCGCTTTATCCAGTATAGATTCATGGGGGAGCCAGAGGCTGTAGCAGCTAGCAACAGGCACAAGGCAGGATACACCACCGATTGGATGCCAGCGCATCACAGGGCACACGCAAACACAGACATGCACACACGCATACCAGGGCCAGGTTTTCTCAGAAGTTAAATAACCTATGTGAACATGAGGAGAACATGCATACAGTACACTCCAGGCAGACAGCACCCAAGGAATTGGGCCCTGAGCTCAGTGCTGTGAGGCAGCCATGCCAACCACTGTGCCACACTGCTGTCCAGTTCCATGCTGTCCAGTCACACATACAATGCAGTTAAAAATGTACTTACATTGCATCAATCAAGCTAGCTTGTGGACTACACACTAAAGTCCACAAAAGAACTTTGTAATGTTCAGAGAGGTGCTGCTCTATCATTTTCTATAACTCATAAAGTATTCTGGTTTTCTTTTTATCTGAGCTAAATGTGATTTAATTAATTCGTAATTAGCCCTAATTAGCGCTGTTTGCAAGTCTTTAATCACTGAGGAGTTTGAGTTCTCCATTCATGTGACTGTAGGCGCAGGAATGAATATCAGTTAATCTGAATTAATTTACTTAATAGAACATAATTTTGTGAGGTAAAGTGTTAATTGGAAACTAATTGAACAAAACAAATATTTTCCAATAATAATTCATTAACACATAGGAAATATTTAGCAGCTCATGATACAGCAGTTTTTCTCTACCAGTCATTTTTATATCCGTATTAACAAAAGGTAATATTAATGTAATTGACTTGCTGAGTGGGTTTTTCCAGTTATTCAAGAGTAATTCATATGAAGACTGCCGGTCCACAGTGATCTGAGCAGTGCTTGTGATTAGCACGGACATGGGAAAAATAGCCAATGAAGCCATTTCATTTAACTGCTAGTTTCTTAGTACCCAGTGGTTTCTATTTTGACGAAGCTGAAGTTAGCAGAATCTGATATCCGTGGGATAAATAGTATTAATCTCAAAATAGGGCTTAAGTCTGTTTGCATTGTAAGGCAGGCCACATGTTTTAGTTCCATTGGTATTCTGGTTGTCGAATGTCCTTGATGGCCAGGTGACTTCAACTCAAGACCACTGCAGGCCAGTTTTAGGTTGCCTTCTCTGTCCTGTCTTTTAATTCTGTTGACTGTGTTCCTGTATCTATGACCTACTGTAGGTAGGTCCAATCTAAGTCCAATCTAATTTCTGCAAATGGACCTGGGCAGTTCCTTTTACTAATGTGTTCACTAATCCATTGACACTAATAGGAGCATTTCAAGTATGTCCCTCAGATAGACATATCCCTTAGAGGATTGCCACCGGCACCTGAGGTAGCACTGATCAGAAATGTTTGTTCTCCGAAGGATTATAGAATCCACCTATAGTTTTAAATCTAATTGTACTGTAGGTTACTTCGGAACTGCAAGGCTTTTCATATCTAATGATCTGAGTTATTATATATCTAAGAATTAATTAAGAAAATTAATGTGTGTACTATTTGTGTTTTTGCATATATTTAAAACCTTATATACAGTACCTTATGCATATATGTTTATGTATATGTTTGTGTGTGTGTATTATTATGTACATGTACCCTCACCCGAATGTATGAGAAATGTGTTGGTGATGGTTATGTTCTTGACAAATGTGCCAGTGTGTCTATGTGAAATGTGTAAAAACTTCATATCTTTACAATTTGTATACAAATAATACAGATTTAGTGCTTCCAAAATGAATACTCCACTACTGACACGTGTGTAGTACATGTATATGTGCTTTGAAATATCTGAAATAATTCAACTTTGTTTTTTTTATTCAGTATCAACTGTATGTAGTCTGGGGGTGGTGAAAATATTTGCTCAATTTCAGATCTTAAAATGCTGTTTGAATGTGGTGTTGAAAATGTACATTTCGCATTAGGATTGCCACTGCTGGTTATGCTGTAAAGTTACACCCTTTGTTTCATTTTATGAGGCTTCAGAACTTCTCAGTATGTCAAACTGTGCCTCTGATGTTCATCACTGAGCTTGCATCACACCTTGCATGGTTTGTAGTTTCATAATGCATATTACAAATATGAGTGTTTTTGTAATGAAAATATAATATTCAAAATAAAAAATAACATTTTAGAACATTCCTATTAAATACATGTGGGGAATTGGTTATTGAACAACCTTCTGTAGAAATATGACATTTCAGGGTCTGTAATCACTCACATAAGCATATAGAATTCACTATTAGAATAGTCCCAGTGTACTATTCAGTATCAGGGGCTCATTGGCAACTATTGTATTTGTGAAACACAAGAGATTAGGACATTAACATTAGATTGGGCTTTTTAAAGATCTTCTAGCCTGAGATATGGGAACTCAAAAATAACTCTTACAGGTTTTAAGTCATAGATGATTTTTATCATTGAAAGGGGTTTTGAATAATAGACTGTTATTCAAACATGAACCTAAAAAAACATGATGTATTCTGAACAAATATCCAGATACAAAGGTTCTGTGCTTATTTGAGTGATAAAGTGCATACAATACTAGCTTGTGGGCACCATATTGTAACAGGACCTCTCTTAAACATTGCTTTCACACTTCGATACTGAAATGCACTGTTTACAAGACCAAATGTTCTATTTTCAAGTATTTTAAGTCTTGCTTTGCCTTTTCATTGCTGCTGCTGATTTGGGATTTAGTTAAAAATTATTTTTTAGAACTCTATTCTGTAATATTTTACAGTGCCTATGGATGAAGATATGTAAAAAAAACTATCATTTGAAAATAATAATGTACTGTGTTTATAGTGGTTGGTTGGGGTCACTTAAGCATTGGAGAAACACTGCCATCTACAGATAAGTTAGTTTTTTATAGTTGCTTTTTTAATCAAAAAAGTGTGGGAAGCTTGTTTAGAAAAGCTTACTTCAGCTCACTGAATCTATGTCAAGGTACAAATTACAGGTTGTAATATAATTGGCATGCTTACGATTTTTTCCTATTTAACAGTGAGGTGTGAAAACTTAAGATCTGTGTGAGTTCTCCTGTAAAGGGCATCTTTGTATAGAAGTCCAACCTGTCCTTTGTTCCAGATTTGTGATTAGTGCATCTGGTACAGTACTGTATGTCTACAGCCTGAATGAAGAACTGAATACATTCGTTCCAAAAGGAGATAAAACAGAAAAAAAAAAAATTTGGGTTTAATAAAAAATAATAAAAAAAAAAGGCCAAAAAAAGGAAAAAGGTTTTTTCCTGGTGGTCAATTTTTTTTCCCT